TAAAAACTAGAATGCATCCCTACATGTAATAAAGATAAATAAAGGGGGGAAAAGATGCTACTAACAATAGATCGGCCATCTTTAGATGACGTGTTAACCATAAAAGAAGAATACATGATGGAGCATAAAATAAAATAGAGGAAGATAATTTTTCACTACCGGAAGATGTTTTTTACACTGCTTAAAATGTGTGGCTCCTCCTATACACTTATACACCGACACATCTACAACACACAACAACAACTTTTTAAATAAAAAATATTAATTAAATGTTAAATCACTTCATCACCCTTAACCAATCTTAGTAATTACAAAAAAAAAAAATTGAGGAAAATATGTCAATACCATGGCATTTTTTGTTACCCCAAAACAATTATGTAATTGTACAGTACAATTAAAAAGTGAAACATATCAAAACACCATTTTCCTTCTCCAACATGTTAGTTTTTTTTATTATATTAGAGGTATTTTGGTTACTTTATTATATATTAAAAGATGAATCAGCACAAATACCCTCAAATAAATCAGTGCTGCCGAATAAACTATGTAAAAAGATAAAAACATTCTTAAATAAAAAAATTAATTTTTTTTGCACGATCTATGAAACATGTCCATGGTCACAGGACATCTCCCATTTCTTTTAGTGTATTTGTTGTATTGTGAAGGTGGAGTGGTAGAGAAGGATGAGCTGGATTCTTGGCACCATTCATAGGATTTTGCCAAGTAAAAGCAGCCCCCCCCCCCCCCCAGCTTCCCAAGAGTGCTGATCAGCAGACATTTTAGCATACAAGTGCTGACCTTTGCATGCACGCTTATGCACCAACAGTACTGCTATCAACGAGGGAGCCAACAGCATAAATAAATTTCTATAGAAAAGTGGCAACATATATATATATATGTCATGATGATGATCATTATCTGTGGTTTTCTTTTTTCTTCAAGATTAAACCTTTTTTGAGAAGATGATCAGTGTATACATCATCCTTAGATAATCATCAATACTAAATTGTCTAGTCTTAACCTAGCTATAATAATGAATAGAATATGTTCATGATAAATTGATAAAAAGACAACTAAGAATCTATGAATTTTATAATGTAGAGCATTTGTCTGCTGCGATTTTTGACTTTAAGCATAGTTTTAAAAAAATATTTGTCAATTAATATAATTAAAAAAAATAGCAAAATAATGCAGCTTGTACATGTCAAAATTAAAAAACATTAGAATAATGATTTACTTGAAAAACAAAAAGGAGAGAAGAGAAAAAAAAATTATGAAAACATATCAAATCTATTATTATAAGAATAATTGTATCATTAAAAATATCTTAACTAAATAAATCTAACATCATTATCAATGATGATTAAAGTAGGCCTCACTTATTTCTTGAAAATGTAATTTAGTTTATTTTTTATTTAATTGTGATATTTTGTAAATATTTTTTATTCATTTTCGTATTAAAAAAAATCTGTGATGCAAGGGAGAGTAGGAGATAAGAGAGATAAAAAAAAAATTCTAGAAACATAATAAATTTCTGATTATGATTACACTAGTGATATCAGAAAAATCTTAATAAAATAAATATAATAATATCAAAAAGTATTAACTAGAATGGACCACTCTTGCCTTCCAAAGATTTAATTCAGCCAATTCTTTATTTAATTGTGCTATTCAGTTAATATTTTTAATTAGCTTTGCTATTTTAAAACAATTTCTGTGATGCAAGGGAAAGTAGGCAAGAACCAAAGCAGCGTGCACGATAAGCACATTCAATGGCTGCGGAGAGCATGACTAGGTTTATGCCCCTCTTCTCAAGCCATGATTTAAGCATTAGTTCATAGGCTCATCTTGAGGACCATTCTGGTGCCACCAAGTGGCGCTATTCTAGACTGCATGACCCCCTCCATGCACTTTGACCAGGTCATGGAGATATCAGACAAAGGACTAAGCCCTCAAACCATAGCACAAAACCATGACATAATATATTAAAAACAGCTCTAAAGACCTTGAAAAGGGCACCATCATGCTCGTAAATAATCCATGGCATCTTTTCAAGCTTCAATCGTATAAGTATCTCCACTGAGAACAAGACAGGGACATGCAGACAGGGCTCTACACCTCCTTTGGGCAAGTAGAACAGCTCTCTCTTCTTCAGCTCAAACCAACATTTCTCTCCAATCCAACGTCTTAGTCCATTCTTCTTTCTTGTGCAATTTCCCAATGGAAATTCATTTCCAGCAAGAAAAGAAGCGTAGAAAAGCGAGCATGCCAGTTAGCAAAACAAGCAAGTTTAAGGGGATAAGTAGGCCTAGCAGCAGTAACAAGTTCGTTGGTGTTAGGCAAAGACCTTCTGGTAGATGGGTAGCTGAGATCAAATACACAACACAAAATATAAGGATGTGGCTAGGAACATTTGAGACAGCAGAAGAAGCTGCTCGAGCTTACGATGAAGCTGCTTGCCTGCTTCGTGGATCAAATACTCGAACCAACTTCATTACTCGTGTATCCTTGGATTCTCCTCTTGCTTCCCGGATTCGAAACCTCCTCAACAACAAAAGGAGAGACAAACAGCAGCAGAGTGAAGAAGAAACTTCTGAAGTCTCTACCCCACCAACTAGCACCACCATTACCAAAAGCACTATCACTACTACTAGCTGCAGCAGCAGCAGCATTAGTAGTTGTGGCATGAGCACTGATAGTCACTCCAATTCCAGCTCGGTTCATGAAACCGATATCTTGTTTGATGACGCATATAAACCAGATTTGAGCAATTGCATTGAGGAATTCAAGTGGGTTTCTTCTCAGTCTGATCTTTCATGGGGTTTCGGACCCGTGTTCGATCGGTTTGCATTTTCCCAGGAAGTGTTGGATTTTCCAAAAAGCGTGGTATCACCAGGGACAAGTGACTTGGGATTCTCAGAATTTGATAAGATGAAGGTGGAGAGACAGATATCAGCATCTCTATATGCAATGAATGGGGTGCAAGAGTACATGGAAACTATCCATGATCCTATTGAAGCTTTATGGGATCTTCCACCACTATAATAATCACCCTGCAGAATTTGTGATTCTAACGAGCATAGAATCTCCCACTTCTCCTTTCCTTCCTTTCTTCCCCTAGTTTCTGGTTTCACTTTACCCTTGCTTGTGAAGTTACAGTGAGAACATACCAGCTAGAGATGAGGTCGAAATTTTGTGTTTTAAAATGTTAACAGCAAATTACATGGAGAAGGTAAAACAATCGTCGATGAACACCAAGTCGAAGCAATCATGGCGATTAAAATATACCTTTTGTTCCCTAGGTAACCTCTCTTTTTCATTGGAGTAGATACAGATGTCATCAATGTCTGTAGTCATTGAAAAGCACGTTTCAACCTCTTAACAGCTCAGACAAGAGTTCCGGGGCCCTACAGCCAACAACTATCCAAAAAGAGTTGCAGTGTCTTCCAATATGTAATCCTTGGCTATCCTCCACTTTATCTGTATACTGAAATCTTTGATCATGTCATTAGTAAGTTTTTACTTCTCCAGCAAAGTTATGATTAGGCATGTCATATTTTCACATAAAGCTGAACCACTTTGATCCATGCTATTTATGTACATGCTTGTCCCTTTGAAGCATCCCAATGATCTTTGATGTTTACAGAGGTGCTTCAAAGAAGCTGTGATTCTGTGAAATAAAGGGCTATTGTCTCATGCAATGCTAAACCTCTCAACCACAGAGCTAGGGCATATGAAAATGCTGCATGACAGGGTTAACTGCAAATAACCCATTTCAGGGAAGTTCATTTTCAATCTGCTTAACTAACCTAATTTAACTTCTCATCCACGTCTTTTATATATTCACATCTTGACCTTTCGGAGGTATTTTTGACTTAAAAAAGTTGCCCCCCACTAAGTTATGCTCCAGAAGAAGTGTCTGCACTACAGTTTCTTAGAGAATTTCAAACCATGTTTAAAAACATTTTAATTAGACAATTAGGCAGTAGATTCTTATCAAAGGTGAGTCCAGCTTGCTAGGAACCTATGATTAAGATATCTTGTCTAGGGAAACTCCTACCACTTCCAAATTCCAAATGATGCATCCATATTGCACTTAAATAATTTAGGTTTTTTGAAACCCTATTTTACAGAACAAGTTATGTATAAGAATTTATGTAGCTCCTTTCTACATATCCAACTGACCCAAAATTTAAAAACTCATCTTCTATCACCCAGCTATCATGAAATTGGATTTGCTATCTCAAAATGGCTCAAGACACTGCTTCCTAAAGCTGTAGGGAGGTTAGGTATCCGCTTTCCATCAACTGTGAAGCTATATCATAGGAACTGAGACTCAGAGAGAGTACAAATATATTCTTTGTTCAGGTAACATAGCAGATTATATGTCTGGTCTAACGGATTGGATCCAGCTAGTAAACTTTTCACCATTTGATGGTCAAATTCCATAACCAATTTACGAAGGTCAAGCCAAGCCAGACATGAAGAGCACAATGAAGAATATGTATTTTACGTGATAGATAGAACCGTATGAAGTACACATGCTGCTACAAAAAGAAAAGGGTATTTAAATGTATCGAGAAGTTCAACAACAGGGCCCTTCCTCTGACATGCTAGTACTTGAGCAACAGAGCTTTGTTCTGTAACTTCAGCATTTCTTACATGCAGAAGAGACAAATACAGAATCAAAGAAATGTGCATAGTTTTATTCAGCTCTGTGTTAAATTTCGCTTTCATCTTCATCATTAGCAAATTCTCCGTATCGACTTTCTTATAGCATTTCGTAGTTCTTACAAGCAACTATATTCTCATAACCAATAGTTGCCTCTAAGATGTGATGGCAGTCTCTGGTGGTAATGCCATAATGCTGTGATTTTGTTTTAATTTTTATGCAAGCCAAAATTTGTAGAAATGCAAGTAAATATTCTCCATAGAGCTGCTAGCTAAATCATGTTGCTTATGCCTACCAAGATCTTCGAGTGGAAGATGAGCTCAGTGTATAAATTAATAGCAGGTGGCTTTATAGATAGCATATGTTTCATTTCAAAAAATGAGAACGATACATTCTTTGAGATAGTGCAAACAATCAACAAGAAAAGAAATAACACATAATGGACAGACAATTCACAGATCACTGACATGAAAATAATGATGATAGTACACCTCTAGACAAACGCACATGAATGATAAGAGATAAACATACAACTGCTGTTTCCTTGCAAAATATTATCTCAGTAATCTTCGTCCTCACCCTCCTCATCACCACCTTCTGCTCCAACTTCCTCGTAATCTTTCTCAAGGGCAGCAAGATCTTCACGAGCTTCTGAGAATTCACCTTCCTCCATGCCTTCGCCCACATACCAGTGGACAAATGCTCGCTTGGAGTACATGAGATCAAACTTGTGGTCAATTCTGGAGAAGACCTCAGCTACTGCTGTGTTGTTGCTTATCATGCAAACTGCACGCTGCACTTTAGCAAGATCACCTCCAGGTACCACTGTTGGTGGTTGGTAGTTGATACCGCACTTGAAACCAGTTGGGCACCTGAAGTATCCATAAATCAATCAATCACATTCCAAGAAAAAAAAACAAATGATAAACAAAGCAAATGTTTAACCTCGTTCAAAATCCCCTACACTTTTCCAGACTAATTTCAATGGCCATTCATTTCAGCTACAGGGAACTCCGATCCTTTTGTCCAGTATCAAAGTTCAGATTTCCCAAATAGATCATAGAATAACAGTAACCCACCAATGCTTGAAATTAAGGTTTGTGTCATCTTGATCTGTTGTATATTTATTATGGTAATGGTCTTAACTTGTCATGTTAAAACCAGAGGAGTTCTCTTGTGTGTTTCAGCGACCATTGTATTGGAACTGCTACTACAAACAGCAAACTAGGAATATGATAGAACCATGTTCGATGTTTACAAACAAAAATCAATATGCTGTTTTCTTGAATGTTAACAGTTCAATAATACTTTTGCATTGCTTTAAGAGCAAAAACTAAAACGAGATAGTGCAAGAGTGGCATTTAGGATCTTAAAAATCTGAAATGAGCATTTCATCAGTTTCTTGAATTATGTCCAAATCTTTTGAATGCCCATTAAGACAGTGCGTTTGTGTCTCAAATGATAAATTTTGAGAGAAACAATTTAACTTTCATTCACAAGATGAAAACAACATACTAGAGCAAGAATTGATCAGAATTAATTCTCATAAATCAAACAAATGGAAATCAACTCACCAGTCAACAAATTGAACTGTCCTCTTTGTCTTAATGGTGGAAACGGCAGAATTAACATCCTTTGGTACAACATCTCCACGATACATGAGACAGCAAGCCATGTATTTTCCATGCCTTGGATCACATTTGGCCATCATACTTGAGGGTTCAAACACAGCACTTGTGATCTCAGGAACTGAAATCTGCTCATGATAAGCCTTGGCAGCTGAGATTACTGGAGCATAAGATGAAAGCATGAAATGGATGCGTGGATATGGAACGAGATTAGTTTGAAACTCTGTGATGTCCACATTAATGGCCCCATCAAACCTCAAGGAAGTTGTCAAAGATGAGATAATTTGGGAAATCAAACGATTCAAATTGGTGTATGTTGGTCTTTCAATGTCTAAAGATCTCCTGCAGATGTCATAAATAGCTTCATTGTCCAAAAGCACAGCAACATCTGTGTGTTCAAGGAGAGAGTGAGTGGAGAGAACACTGTTGTAAGGTTCCACGACAGCAGTAGAAACCTGCATTATTATGAAAAATCTTCCATAAGAGTTTTTAAACAACAGGTCAAACATAGAAAGAATTTACCACAGTACCATAAGAAATGACCATATTTTTTCTGTTACAGGCTTCAACAAGAGGAACCACAGGGAAAAGTTTTTAACGTAAACATCGACACCCAAAAAGATGTATTTCCTCTGATTGTTTGGAAGTTCACATTTAGCACAAAAAGATGCTATAATTTCTCGATAATTCTTTGGAGTGCATACCTGAGGAGAAGGATAGATGGTGAAGCCAAGTTTTGACTTCTTTCCATAATCTACAGACAATCGTTCCAAAAGCAGCGAGCCCAAACCAGAACCAGTGCCACCACCAACAGCACTAAATACCAAAAATCCTTGCAAACCAGTGCAATTGTCTGCCAATTTCCTCACACGGTCCAGGCATAGATCAACAATTTCCCTTCCCACTGTAGTAGTAGAACACCAATGCAGCAAAATATTCAACATCGACAATAAGAACAAAATCAACATTTCAAGTGAGCATTGCAAATGCTTCTTTTACCTGTATAATGTCCCCTGGCAAAGTTATTAGCAGCGTCTTCCTTGCCAGAAATAAGTTGTTCAGGGTGAAAAAGCTGTCTGTAAGTCCCACTTCTGACTTCATCAATGACAGAGGGTTCGAGATCAACAAATATAGCTCTTGGCACATGCTTTCCTGCTCTAGTTTCGCTGAAGAAGGTATTGAAAGAATCATGTTCCACTCCGATTGAGGTGTCACTGCAACAGGATATAGATCAGCCAAATCAGGTTCGAAAGTAGACGAATGAAAACAGTAAAATAGAGCATCCTCCAGAAATAGTAAATCAAAATCAACAATTTCCAGCAAGGAAAAGCAAGATCCAGTCGTTCTCGTTCAAGATCATGACGGGGGCATCATCCACAAACAGAATTCCATTTAAGGCAAAAACAAAAAAATCAAAATCTGAAAACAAAACTTTGTACAAACAGAATGGCGTCATCCTCCAACCTAGAGATTAACCATCCACAAATGGCTGAAATGAGGCCTTTCAAAATGGAATTCAAATACATAATTAACAGCCTAAATATTGTTTACCTCCACAAAAACATCAAATATATTATCAATTCTTTTTTGTCTAATTCAACCATGGAAAGACAAGATGAAAACAAAAATATCTCTACTTTTGAATGCAAAATCACCAAAACATGACAAGAGAAAAATCCAAACACAGAAACCATTCCGATCCATCAAAGTCAACAAAATCAATGATGATTACCTTGATATAAAATCATAACACAAATCACTATATACATAGAAACTGATCACAAACATTCAAAGACACGAGGATCCCATTGATCAGTTAAAACAATTAATGATCCACAAACATTGAATATTTCACCGAAAGAAAAATGCATGAAATTACCTAGGCATCGTTCCATCAGGCTGTATTCCATGTTCAAGACAATAAAGTTCCCAACAAGAATTCCCGACCTGAATTCCTGCCTGTCCAATATGTATGCTTATTATCTCCCTCATAATTGATTTCTTCCTCTCTTTAAAAAAAATATTTATCTCTCCAAGAAGCTCAGAGAGTTTCTATGCAACAATGGAGATGTAAATTAGAGAGGAAGAAGAGATTTCTCCTCTTATGAATGTTAGAAAGGTAAAGGTAGTTAATTTATCAATTCAAGGTTGCTGTTTTATTGTTAACTGCCACTTATGTGGCGCCAAATGGGGTCCGCCGCTTGGCGCCAGCTCTATGGTGCTGGTTTTTTGGGCTAGCTCGGCTGTTGTCGGTTTCCATGGCCCACGTCCTTTCAAAAATTAGTTTTTATAAAGTTAATTTGTAGTTGAACTCTTAAGAGGAAACTGATGGACTCTGTTTTAAGATTCTGTTTGTCTGGACGGATGAGTTGGCTTGCTTTTTTTAGATCTAAATTGAGCAGTGAAGAGAAATTTGAGGTGATTTCGTTTCTTTTTTTTATTCATTTGACTACGTTCAAACAATCCATTTTCAATCTTCCATTTTATGTGCTCGGTGAGGACGATAACACAAAACGTACGAAGAAAATTTACAAAATATCTTTCATTTTACGCACAAATAAATGGAAGGGTCAGGGGAGAAAAGATATGTTGAAGCAGAAACAAGATTTTTGGTGCCAGATAGAAAATATTTCTGTGCTCCTGGCTCTGTGTCCTCTGTCAATATTGCTGCTTCGAAACCAGTCCTTAGCCATGATGCAGCAGAGACTCTGCAAGGCTGTAAGAGATAAGAACCGACAAGTTTTCTGCCTGTGACCATCAAAACAACCACCCATTGAACTGCGTGTTAATTATGGAGCAATGTTTGTTCATGAATCACGGGAGTTGGTGGTGCATGTTCTTCTGAGAAGACCCTCTAGCTACCCAGCTCAGAGAGTATAGCTTTTGGATTTTTAACCCCTGATCTTCGACGGCATGTGGCCCAAAGTTCAACGGGTCTTCAAAAGAAAGCGAGACTTTCATCTCTAACTTTAGGCACCAAATGAAATGTGATTGTGGAACACTAAGGTCACTTTATCTCTTTTCTTTTGAATCTTGAAGTCTATGAGTTTATGACACATTCATCTTCAAGCTGGCGCGTAGAAATAAATCATCAAAAAATTAAATTATTTAGAGCCACCAACCCTCACCCTTTTCTCTTATATTGTCTGGAGATTTGATAGGTTTCTCCTTCCAAAAATTTCTTGCATGAGGTTTAGTTACCGGGAACAACCATGGAAGACCCTAAACACCTTTTCTCTATGCTGCCCAAAACACCACGACGGCCGCACCTTACCCATAACATCAGCATTTCCCCCGAACAAAAACAGCAACCACAAGTTGTAGCCTCCCTTCACCATCTCAGCCTGAACTAATGTACTAACCACCCTTCCAACAAAACCTAATCTGCTAGACAACAGATATGGACTCAGACCCAAGTCATCGTCAAGTTTGCAACACAAATCAGGAACTCACAATCAATAATCATTTCAGCACAATATTCACCTTATATGTGGTTAGCTCAAGCTGCCATGTTCTTCTTAAATGAATAACATGACCGTTCCAGTATTCATCCATTCAAAATCAACCTTAATTTTATCTATCAAAATAAAAAATAACACAAACCCCATATTCATCCTTTCAAAAGAGGAGTAATGCAAACAAGAAGCTTAACAAAGACTTTCATGCCTTACACTCAAATACCAAATGTCGTGGCTTGTACAACGTCAATTGACGGGTCTCTCTTGTTGATTGGAGGGAGTTTTAAATTTAATCATATAATTATAATATGAGAGAATCGTTGACTCGTATTATAATTACTAAAAAAATATAATTATTTGTGAGATTCTAAGTAAAAGAATTAGTTATAAAAGAAAAAAATATATTATTTTTAATACACCTTACCTATAATAAATTATATTATTAATTAATTGTTTTTTTTTCAAATTCTATTTTTATTCGTTGATTCTTCTAAAATTCATGACAGATTTCTTTTTATGAAAAAATCTACCTTATCAAGTTAAGTATTACAATGTTCTAAAGTTAAGTATTACAATGTTCTAAAGCCTAAGTTAGATGGAAAATTAGTAGTATATCTTATGACTATGGTTCAAGGTTTAGAGTAATGAAAACTCAACTTATATTTAAGTGCTTATTTAATAATAGTGAACATACATATCTTAACCAATCCTCTCAATATCCCTATACTATTTTTATAAAGACTAGATAAAAAACATATTTATATTCATTTTTTTTAGATCTTTTTTGCTTCTAGATATTTGATATGTTTAAAAGAGCTAATCTATACCCAATATATATATTCTCATAAGCATTCATAGATAAACATGTTTTTAGTTTTAATTATCATCATCATATAAGTGAAAATATATGTCCTTTTTTTAAAATTAATTTATAACAAAAAAATCTAAAAAGAAGCTAAAGAAGAGCAAAGAGTATGCATGCTTAGAATCTGAACATCAAAAGGAAATGAAGAGCCTTAAGGGAGATATGGAAAGGCTAACAAGCCTACTTAAATAAGAATTGAGAACAAGATACGAGGAAGCTCCATTTCCTCAAACAACAATAACTCCCCATCCAACTATTATGGCTCTCATCTATTTACCCTATAAGACTACCTTTTATGGTAGGTTTAACTAGAAAAAAAACTCTAAAGAGAATCTTACAAAAAAAGCTTATATAAAATAGGCAGAATTAGATGAAAGAATAAAAATGATTGAGGGGTCTAATCTATATAATTCAATGAAAGCAGCTAAAATGTGCTTAGTGTCAAATGTTGTAGTTTCAAAAGACTTCCAACACCTAAATTGAGAAATACATGAAAATAAAATGCTCATTGACTCATCTAAATGCTTACTACAATAAAATAGCTTAAGTTGTCCACGATGAGAAACTACACATCTATTTTTTCCAAGATAGCCTTAGTATAAAGATTAACAATTTTAACATTAAAAGGTGGAAAGATTTGGTCAGCATTTTTATCAAACAATACAAGTTCAGTATAGATGTTGCTCTGGACAGATCTAGCCTACAACATATAAAAATGAGTGATAGAGAATTTATTCGAGAATACATCTAAAAGTGGTTTGGAGTGGCTATTTAGACAGATCCTCCACTGCTAGAAAAGGAGATAGCCAACTTGTTTACCAATACTTTTAAAACATCCTACTTTAAGTTCTTGAATGAGAGTGCAGCCCGGCATTTTACTAACCTAATGATTATAGCTGAAAAGATTGAACAAGCTATAAAAGTGGCAAAAATCAAATGTTCAGCATAAACTTTGAAGTCATAATGGAATATGAGTTAGGAAATGGCTTTCAAATTAAGAATCTCGTATGATCGAATCTTATTATTATATCAACTGCTCAAACATCACAATTAAATATTAACATACAATTACAATTTAAGGATATTTACTGAAATCTTTTAAACATCAGACATATTACTTTAACTCTATCAAATCTTATGAAACCATCACTCTCGTGGTGGTACAATTCAAATGAGAAGTATGGATATCATGATGGAATCCTTGACTACTTCAATCAAAAATTTCAAGAATTTTAACTATTAAGTCTGGGATCCCTAACCACTCAATCAAAAATTTCAAGAATTTCAACAATTAAGTCTGGAAGCTTGTGACCAATAGACAAGTTGAGTTTCTAAAGGATAATAATACCTATTACATTGTCATCAAATCATCCTCGACATAACAAGTGATTGAAAATGCTGGAAAGACTCAAATATTATTGAAAAAGTTTATCTAAGAAAGGGGTTGCATTGTCAATCATTATTTCCATAAAATTTTGCTTTCCTTGTTTTATTTTTCATGTTTGTTGAGATCACATCCTATCTTTCAATGAAATATGCATACTTTTTTTATATCTTTGTTGTTCTAAAATCAAGAGATGTTTAGTATTTTTTTTGTTGACCATGATAAAAAAAATAATAATAATAATTCCAAACCATTATTACTGATAAGAACTATTCTTAAACATTAGATAGACCAATTTCTAGAAAATATAACAATATCTTAATTTATATCAAATAAACAAACAATGTAAATGACTAGAAAATATAACAATATCTTAGTTTATATCAAACAAACAAAGAATGTATTTTACCTTACGTAAGGTGTATTGGGGTGATAAGCCTTTCTTATATATCAAACAAACAAAGAATATATTTTATCTTACGTAAGGTGTACTGGGGTGATAAGCCTTTCTTATACATAATCAATCTTCTTATCTAAACTCTAAGACTAGTTAGATTTTTTAATGATCAAAATATTAAGTAATAACTCTATTTCTATTTTACTAATAAAAAATAAGAATTTTTTATTCTTTCCCACATCCAAATTTGAGAGAACAATCATCTCAATATCACACATATGCAATAATTATTACCATTATTATTATCATCATTACCATACAACTACAATTCCACCTAAATTAAAATTCTTAGGCCTCTTCTTTGAATTTAACTAAATATCATGAAATTAAAACAAGGTTCCATCTTTTTATTCCTTCATTCAATTAGGTCGCATATATGTTTTTCAAATAGTAACCAAAATTCACCTTTATTATTATCAATTAAACTTTTACAACTCTAATAACAAAATAATTTTATACAACAACATAAGTTCTCCCATCTTCTAAATTTATTTCACATGATCAGCTATAGAAAAATTCAAAATTCATGGTTTTTAATTCAATTTATTTTTTAATTTGTTGTCGTTCTTCCAATTCTCATACATACAAACAATAATTAATCAAAACAAACATTTTCCCAAAAAAAATTATAAACCCTAGAATTGAAATTTTAAAGTTTTCATCCTCCAAACACAAAAACAAATAAAATTAACCATAAAAATTACCTTACCTTCCATGAATGAACTCAATTTAAGAAGTTCTAACTCAATTTGACCCTAATTTATCTTCCACCATTAAATAATTCTCTCTCTCTCTCTCTCTCTCTCTCTCTAAACTTCTAAACTTATTATTTTCTTTCTAAATCTCAACCTTGTACTTGTACTTGTTTTTCTCTACTAAGAATCATTTATATCACTCCCTAAACTTATAGTTTTGAAAGAAATCCCTAAAATTTTAAAAATGAGAGAAATGGAGCTCCTTATTTTCTTTAATG